GAGAGAGAGAGGAAGGAGTGATAGAGAGGAAGGAGTGATAGAGAGGAAGGAGTAATACAGTGGGGAGGACTGAGATAAGGGGGCAAGAGTGAGATAGAGGGAATGGGTTCCGAAGGTGCAGATCAGATGTTTTTGCAGCTGAACCTGTCCTTGTGTCCGTCTGTCGCTGTCGTCAATAGATCTTTTCCCACATTGCTATAGCGTTGTCAGTCGGGAAAAGTGGTTACCACTTCACTGTGGAATTGGCTGGGAGACGAATGGACTTGTATCTGTTTGCTTCTTCATTCCTTTGTTTGTTTCCTTTGTTTTATTTGACCGTATTCCGAAGGTCGTGTTTATTATTCTCTGAGGACGTCTCCCCCTCCCCCTCACCCCCAATCCCCCGCTCATTCAAAGACCATCATATGACCGTGTTTCAGTTGTGTCCTTATCTTTTATTACTGTCTCTCGTAGGCGCCAGTGGTGTAAGGGTTAGCATCCTCATCCTCCACCCAGCTGAGCGTGGGTTCGGATCTCGCGTGGGAAAGTCTTTTCCTCGATCAGCTCCGTCTTTCTTCCCCTGGTGATTGTATGCCACAAGGCCCACATCAGCCTTGGCAGGCGGAGTCTACATGTGAAGAATACAACCTGCGGGGGTGGAGAGTGACTTTATATTATTTCCTCTCTCACCAAAACACATGTGTCATTTTGTTTCTCTTTCCCTTTTCCCTGCCCACCCCCCCCTCTCTCTCTCTCTCTCTCTCTCTCTCTCTCTCTCTCTCTCTCTCTCTCTCTCTCTCCCTCTCCGTGTCTCTCTCTCTTTCTCTCTCTCTCTCTCTCTCTCTCTCTCTCTCTCTCTCTCCCTCTCTTTCTCTCTGTCTGTCTGTCTCTCTCTCGCTTTCTCTCTCTCTCTCTACTGCCTGTATTTTCCAGTCTAATTGCAAGACATCACTAGCAAAATGTAAACTGCAAGGCACTGATGGATGAAAATCACAATGTGGTCTATGAGAAGGCTTTTTTCTTATTTGTAAAATTTTCTTAAATTTGTTTACCAACTGTAGTCTACTTGCTGGTTCTGGCTGCTGTACCCAACTCAGGGAGGATAAAGGGAGCGAAGTGTTGACCTCTCATTTACTTGATATACTGATGGATACATTAACGCCTTGATAACATTAACTTTGTTGGTCCAGAGGATTTTCTTCATGTTAAACCAATTTTTCCTTTAGAGAAGTTGCAATGCATAAAACAAAGACAAGGGGGGAAAAACCTGAGGATTTTAAATCCATTCATGGTAACGGGAATTTCATGTTAAAATAGTTCTTATTAAATACAGTGTACCGTGTATTCAAGTGTAAAATCGTAGACTGTTTAGTGCTCTGCATTGTTTGGAAGGGGGTGAATAAGAAATTTTTTCCTGCACAATACCCTCTACTGACATCTGTGGTGAAATGATAAGGCTTTTCACTTTGCGCTTGAAGGGAAGGAATTAGAATCCCACATGGGGTTTATATTTTTGCAAGAGTCTCTGCCTTTGTGCTGCGATATAGTAGTTCTATCGTACACAGGTTGGTTTGGCTTGACAGACAGGGTGTAAACAGCGCGGCTTCTAACTATTCTTGCACTATGTTCTCAAATTTCTAAAAATCCTTACCTCGTTTTCCTTTTTATTGAAATTAATAGGTCCTGTGTTCAATTCCGGATAGCGACGGAACATTTTCTTCTCTAAAATTGTCTCCTTTCGACTCCCTTTCCTGCTCTCTAACAATGTTCTGTCGTCTGCTTTCGTCTCCGCTTTCTGCCCCCACCCCTCACCTCCTTTGCCCCCTCCTCTTGGCTCCTGACTCTTTCCGCAGCATTTCTACTGCTACTCCTTGGCTCCCTGTTATTGCAGCCTTTCAGCCACACCCCTGGTCTTATGATAGGTAAGATCTAACACCTAGCATTCTCAGTTAAGGGTGGAAAATCTCGAAGGTCCCTTTTGCAAGTTGGGCACGTTGAAGATCCCTTGGTGGTCCAATTCGATAAGAGTAGGTTTTGGCCGCCACCCGGGCAAAATTCAAAATTAACTTCTACAAAAACTAAAAATGTTTATGTGTCCTGTGTGCTCATAACCTTATGTAGTTGCGAGCGCCGCATGGCAAAACACTCACCAAAAAATACCTCAAAAACCTTCATTGAATTTTCAGATGATGAGGCAGATGAAGAAAGTATGTTGATGCCTCTTCGAAGAAGGATGCGAGCAGCAGTTCTAGATTTCTCCTCTGATAGTGGTAAGTTGTCCCAGGCCTCAAATGTCTTTCATGTTGGGTCCAGTTTATTGTTACGTCGATTTAGGTTAGAACCTATTAAATCTTTCTCACTGAGCTTACTCAACTATGTTGTTTATTTAACCCTATCCGTACATCGTGTTTTACTATCGTATCCATACGTCGTGGGGAACTCTGTGCGACCACCCACTTTCCAAAGAGGAAATTTACTTGTAAATCTGATCCGTATGCTTTGTATAACAGTCTGTCAAAATGATTTTTTGAGAAATACTGAAAGTTTCAAAGAGACTTCAAACTAGAAATATTCTAAAATGTGAAGAATACAACCGCGGGGGTACAAAATAACCCCAGGGCATACGGATAGGGTTAAATTCCTAAGTGACCGCCAGTGATGAGTGTGCTTGTCTTCTAGCAAGATTCATTTTGGAACCTATTACAGGAATATTTGTTTTTAAAGTTAAAACTATGTGGGTGGTTGGCAGGTGCTTCGGTGTGGTTTGCTTCTTCATTCCTGTCAAACATCTGTCATCCTTATCTCTCCTTCTTTGTTGTGTTTGTTACTCTCTTGTAAAACCTCTAATCTTCGGCGCAATGTGATCAAATTGTATTGCAAGTGCTGTAAAACACTTACTAAAATATAAAACAAAACTATTTGACTTTCTGTGTCTGATCAACATTTCCAAACATTTGCTACCCCCCGGGGAGGTGCCACTGACTGCAGTGTCTTTAGGACATTCCCAAAGTGGGGACATTTCTCGTTCATGCACCGTAGAATTGTAAATGGGTTGATCATCAATGTCACGCTCATAACTGTGTCTGATCTACAACAGGGAACTGCTGCTTTTTCTTTCCTAATCCTTACTATTGTCATTTTCCTCTACTTCTTTTGTATGTTTGTCACACACTTGTGACCCGCTATTTCTGGGGTGCCTTGAAAGTCGAAACAGACTTTGTGCTGGTAAAGCTAGAGAGGTGAGCAGAGTAAGCCTGATTCCCTGTAAAGACTTCTCTGTTGACATCCACGCCTTGGCGCTCATATGACCTTATGCAGTTGCGAGTGCCGTAGAACCTCTACTAAATTAAAAATTAAAAAACATTTGCTAAAGGGAATCAGAAAGTATACATTCTTTTTGAACTTGCGAGGCACAGGAAAGTTACAACAAAATTTATTCAGATTTTAGAGATAAACTTTATTTTCAGACGGCATAGTTGACAGCCATGGTCCTGACTAATCTGTCAGCGACAGGATGGCTGGTCACAAAACCAGAATGGTCAAAATGGTAATATCTTATTTTAGCTTTTAAATCAAAAAACTTTCTCTCTGTTTGAAACTTTCAGTGTTGGATTTTCTTTGCCAACTTCAGAGCTACACATTAATGAGCACCTTTTGTCTGTTTGTACATTGCATCTATGTCATAGTGGGTGGTTTGTGGGTGCTCTCCTTCTTTCCCATCATACTTCTGTCATCCTTATCTCTCCTCCTTTTTTGTGTTTGTTACTCTCTTGTAACAGCACTAATCTCAGGCACTTATATGACCTAATTATGTTGCAACTGTCGTAAAACGTTTACTAAAACAAAACAAAATATGTGTGGTATATCATTTTTTACTTCTGTTTTTCATTTAGATGTGAACATCCATGTGTCTCCCCACACATCCCTGAAAGGTGAAGCAGTGACAGGGAGCTGTGACAAAACAACACTCTCTTTGAAGCAGGTAAGTTGTTAGTTATTGCTTTATTATTAGTCAGTGCTGAGCATAGGGGTTCGATATTATGTAGCACTTTACTCAGAACTTACGGAATTATGGAATTGTCTCTTTTTCTTCGAGACATTTTTTCAAATTTCCTCACCCTTTATGTGCGTGATGTCAAAATTATTCGACTCCAAGATGGCCAGGGGATATAAATATTCTGCTGTCTCATGAACACAGTGTGTTAGGCCAACATTATCCGTCACCTGTGAAACATGCTGATAAGAGGAGACAGACTCCCACACACTCAGCACAATAAAAGAAAAGTGTGTGCGGAGTACAGGAAAGAAAAGTTTGCTCCGAGGAGGGGTCAGGCGTGTCTCAAACCAGCTCCACATGGAGACTATTAGCAGGAAGACCCTGGGGTGGACGCTGGAAGGGAGAGATGAGCAGCTATGGACATGTGCCGCCTGCTATGATTCTAGCTCTGGATCCAAGTAATTCCAAGTAATGCTAATAAAATGAATTACTTGCCGTAATCCAGGAAGAGAGATATCTGCTGAAAATCAACACAGGGGTCAAAATTGTAGTTTTTCAGCAGATGCCATTTTTTTTTTCAAGTTTCATATATCTTTTATTTCTTACTTGTAAATTGTACAAAATCCAGCTTTAAGTCTGACATATGTGTCATGACATGGTGGAATCGGGCACTAATCAATTTTTGGACATGTTGAGTCATTTGTATCTTCTTATTAAAGCTTGTTCATTTGTCTTGCTTTTGGTGAATAAAATACCTATCTACCTTGAATATAAGTGGAGATTTTTACGATTGAAGGAGGTGGGAGTTGCCTGGTTTAGTGACATCCAAAGCTTAAGTGTCCTTGGAAACTGCAAATTTACATTTTTTATGCTTTTGATTAATGATTTTCAGAAAAATTCACACAAAATATGTTTTTAAATGGGCATGAAAGGTGATGAGCCCCAAAAAAAAAAATTTTTAAAATTTGCCTTTCGGCCAGAAAAATGCCGGCTTCTTTGATTTAATTATTTTGGCAAGCGCCTGATTTCACAACAGTGCCTCATGTATCTATTTCTATTGAGTTAAAATTTGAGAGGTAACTCATTTGTCAGCATGCCTCACAACCATCTTTTGTGCCAGTCTGTTGAATGAGGAATGAGTGCCTGGTCTATTGAAGAGTGTATACTTGTACCCGTTCAGTGGGGAGCCCACCTTTTGACATGATATATTGTTCCAGTTTTTCGATGTAATTATTGCTTTTCCTCTTGAAATTCAGATGTTGTCCTAGTGGTTTCACTAGAATGATCTACCTACACAGTCTTAATGCAAAAGAACACGTCCTTATTTACTGTTTAACCCTCACTACTGCATTTTTAACGGGGAGGGGGGTTCTTAATTGTATGACACAGTGTGGTGAATAGAGATATAGTGCGTGTTAGTTATAATAGGTACTTGAATATGGAGTTACATTTGTATTTCTTTCTCCTTCCGTATCAGATTTTCCCAGTGTAAACAACCTTAGTGAGGTCACAAAATCTATTTACTCATGAAAAATTTTTAAAACCCTGTGTATAATATGAACAATACCCACAGGATGGCAATCCAGGACCTTTTAAGTTGATTTTTTGGGGGTTATTATTGCAACTTCTGTTCTGTAGCCTTGTAGTTATGATACTGGACTAGCAACCTCAAGGTTGTGGGTTTGAGTCCCAAGTTTTAAAAAATTGGCTTCCTTCAAATGCTTACAGTGATTGCTTATTTTATTAAAAATGTTCTGTTTCAGACACACTCAGCTGTGAGTGGAAAGAAAAGCTCATTTGTTCTCTCCGACATTGAGGAAGATGATGATGATGATTTTGAAGGTGAGAAACTTCATTCTTAGAAGTAAAGATAAGGTAATATAATACTTTATTATATCAGAGGGACATTTTTCATGGCTGTACAGGACTGTAAAAACATATGCAGGTATACGTAAAAAATTGTAATTATAGAATTCAATATGAAAAGAGAAGTAAAGCTGACAAAATGTAAATATCAGGTCAGATGCATCATTCAACCACATGCTGGAATTTGAGTACAAGACCTTTAGAGTTATATAGATACATACTCTAAGGAGCAATACACGTCTATGCTTATTCTGACAATAACCTTATGCTAGATGGTAAAAAACTTCTCTTATATCTTTCTTTCTTTGTTTTTAGAGGTACATATCTGCCGCTGCGTGTATTGTTAGTTAATGCTCAAACATAAATCTCTTATAGAGTGCAGGAGACAGAGCAATAAACAACCTTCAAAGAATTTTGTGTTTGCCTAGAGAAAGGTTCCAGTTGTCGGAAATTTTGGATATTAGATAGGGACATATTTTTATCGCAAATTCAATGCTGAACGCTCTGATTTCAACATTTTTCAAATGTTTTGAGTAGTTTTAAAGATGTGCCACATTTTGTAACAGAGTGTAAAAACAGGAGGAAAACCTAATTTTTAACCTTTAGTGAAGAACATGTTGCAAAAATAAATGATAAAAAAAATTTAGTCTTAACATATTATAATATCCTTTTAATATGTTATTGATAAATGATTTAATGTGTGTTTTCTGATGGAACTAAATATTTGACCAGGTACTACTTTTTGGCCTTTTTACTCCTTTGCTGAAAAATAGCTTCGCCGACAACTTGGCCCTTTCTCCAGGCACACACACAAATGCTTTATATTAATAATAATAATAATAAATAAATAGCATTTGTATAGCGCATATCCCCGCTCAACTGCAGGCTCTATGCGCTTTACACTATATTATTACCCCAGCAGACCATGGAACACTCCGAAACATTCTCAGCTTCCCAGGAAGCACACAGTTCAAGCAGCTGATTAAGCGCTCAAACACTGACAAACTAACAAGATCTTTCGCTGTCTATAGCCGAGTACCCATTCCCACCTGGGTGAAGTGAGGAAAATTCGTGTAAAGTGCCTTTCCCAAGGACACAACGTCCGGCCCCTGACGGGATTCAAACCCACGACCTTACGGTTGCGAGTCCGAGAGCCTAATGAGACTACAGTATTTCACCTTTTTATGTGATTCGTTGGCAAGAGGTGTCACTCACTGTGATGAGCCGACTGATCAGCTCAGCATTTTCCTTGTCACAGGGATGAGCTGTATCACCAGCTTGACTATATGCCTCTATAAATATTCAAATGGTGCCAGTTCAAACTTTCCAAAATAATATTCATGTTTTACTAGCCCTGTGCTGTTCTTGTTTGTCTATATTCGTATTTCTCTGCATTACATGACTCTTGTTGGGTTGAGCAACGGAGCATCAATGGACATGTCGGGAGTGCAGGGATGTTGCTTCCTGAAACAATGAACAATCTTGTGTTGATGTGCTCCTTTTCAACTCAAACAAACTTTCAAAGCACTGAGTATTTCTCAAACAGATTTTTTTATTTTCCTGCGTTGAGAGGATTGAAAATACTTTAATGCAAGAAAAATCCTGAGAAAATATGATGAAATTGAAATTAAATGTGTTCTCATTTTTGTGTTGTCAGCACAGTTGCATGTTATTACTGATACGTCATAAACATTGTGATTCTTTCTCTCTCTCTCTCTCTCTCTCTCTCTCTCTCTCTCTCTCTCTCTCTCTCTCTCTCTCTCTCTCTCTCTCTCTTTCTCTCTCTCTCTCTTTCTCTCTCTCTCTCTCTCTCTCTCTCTCTCTCTCTCTCTCTCTCTCTCTCTCTCTCTCCCTCTCTCCCTCCCTCCCTCCCCCCCTCCCTCCCTCCTATAAAAACATGTGTGTGTATATTTCTCGTTGATAAAGTTTAGTAAGGCACGCATAAAATGAGGTAAGATGAAAATGAATACACCCATTAGTTGTTTTTTTTAATTGAAAATACACTTTCAGCAACTTCTGCTACACAAAAGGTCAACCTGCACCATTGCACTAATATGCAAACACATTTATGCACTCTTCATTAGTCTACATCAATTTGAAAAGGAGGTATATATGGTTGCAGCCAGTCTGATGATAGAGTCAGACAAATTTGTGACCGGCTTACTTGAGCCTTGTTCAACATTGGGTTTCCATCTTGCGTACATGTATAATACATTACATTCATTCACAACAAAACATTTAAGTAATACAATGCATTAGTGAATACAGTCTAGAATACAGTTTGATTTTCCAAACAAATCCTTTTAAGTAAATATCCCATCAGAATTTATTTCATGCCTTATAATGTGTGTGTGTATCTTTCCTGTTGACAAAGTTCAGTAAGGCACACATAAAATGAGGTAAGATAAAAATGAATACACCCATTAGTTTTTAAAATAATTGAGAATATACTTTCAGCAACTTCTGCAACACAAAAGGTCAACCTGCAACATTGCACCAATATGCAAACACATTTATGCACTCTTCATTAGTCTACATCAATTTGAGAAGGAGGTACATATGGTTGCAGCCAGTCTGATAGATACAGCTAGACAAATTTGAGACCGGCTTACTTGAGCCTTGTTTAACATTGGGTTTCCATCTTACATACATTTATAATACATTCATTCACAACAAAACATTTAAGTAATACAATGCATTTGCGAATACAGTCTAGAGTACAGTCTGATTTTCCAAACAAATCCTTTTAAGTAAATATCCCATCAGAATTTATTTCATGCCTTATAATGTGTGTGTGTATCTTTCCTGTTGACAAAGTTCAGTAAGGCACACATAAAATGAGGTAAAATAAAAATTAATACTCCCATTAGTAAAAAAAAAATTGAGAATATACTTTCAGCAACTTCTGCAACACAAAAGGTCAACCTGCAACATTGCACCAATATGCAAACACATTTATGCACTCTTCATTAGTCTACATCAATTTGAGAAGCAGGTACATATGGTTGCAGCCAGTCTGATAGATAGAGCCAGACAAATTTGAGACCGGCTTACTTGAGCCTTGTTCAACAATGGGTTTCCATCTTACATAATCTGGACTGTATACATGTTTAATACATTCATTCACAACAAAACAAATTTAGTAATACATTGCATTAGCGAATACAGTCTAGAATACGGTCTGATTTTCCAAACAAATCCTTTTAAGCATATATCCCATCGGCATATATTTGACACGTTCTAATGTAATAATATGTAACATATATTAAGGCAGCATATTCCAACAAAAGAATTGTTATTGGAACAAATTTATTGTCGTATACAGACTACATATCCAAGATCGTAATATTGAGCATCTACGGGAATAATGAATAAGAAAAAGAAGATGGGCAGACTGGAACATATCTTTATTGTGAATAACGATCTAAGACAAAAAAAACAGAAATATGTCAAAAGGAGTTTCAAACTGATACAAAGTGTGTTTTAAAAAAACCAATTCCTTTTCAGATGATAATTCACAATGTAATAAAATGGATAGGTGGTAGATGCTCTCCCTTGTTCATTTTTGCTCTTTCTGCAGCGTTACTCAGTATCACTGTTGTCCCAATATGCTTGTGGTTGGTTGGCGGGTGCTCTGGTGTGGTTTGCTCCTTCTTTCCTATCAAACATCTGTCGTCCTTATCTTTCTTCCCTCTTTTTTTTTAGGTGTGTGTTTCTCTATTGTAAAGCCTCTTAGTAAGTCGGTGGTTGGTGGGTGCTCTGGTGTGGTTTGCTTCTTCTTCATTACTAAGAAACATCTATCGTCCTTATCTCCCCTCCTTCTTTTTTGTGTTTGTTACTCCCTTGTAACACCTCTAATCTTCGGCACTTATATGACCTTATTGTGTTGCAAGTGCCGTAAAACTCTTAGGAAACCCCCTCCCCCCAAACCTCTGATCTTCGCCATTTACATGACCTAGTTGTGTGGCAAGTGCCTTAAGACGCTTACTAAAACAAAATTAAAAAAACAACTATTATGCTGCCTTGTAAGATATGGTCATTCTCTTTTTAACAGTGGATGGTTGGAAGGTAGGCCTACTGCCGGTAGAAATTCTTTTCTGTCCCTCAGTTGCTTCTGTCCAACCGTCTTATGTTTTTTTCCCAGCATTAAATTAACACTATTATGTCGATGTGCTTCTCTTTACTCAGACAATGAAATAATCTTGAATTAATAGAAAAATAAATAGCATAAATGATAAGAACTGACCTGCTGCTAACTCTAACTCAGAAACGATATTAGAAGAAAGGGTAACCGAGTCGAATAGCTAGATTCTGCATTATTGTTTTCCTCATTACTCAGAAATATCTGCTGACCTGTACTACAACTGTATCTTTATATTCTAAACTGTCATTCTTTTCTTTAAATTTGGTCGGTGAAATACATGCTTGCCGATTGAAACCCATCTTTTTTTTATGCTTAAGTTTACATATGTTTTAAACTAAATTTGCTGCAAAAAAGCAGGGAATAGGCCTATGAATTCTAAGAGTAAAATGCATGACACTGTTTGAGTAAAGAAAAGCACATTGACACTATAATGTCATTTAGTGCGGGGGAAAAAGATAAGATTAGATAATACATTATTATCCCAGAGTGAAATTTTTCTTGGCTGTACAGGACCGTAAAAACACATGCAGGTATACATAAAAATTTAAACTATATATTACTCTCGTTAATAGTCAATGTGAAAAGAGAAGTAAAGCTGACAAAAAGTACATATCACATCAGATGCATCATTCAACCAAATGCAGAAATTTAATTACAAGACATTTAGAGTTATATAGATACATACACATTGATGCTTATTCTTACAATAGCCTTATGTTAGATGGTAAAACACTTCTTTTATGTCTTTCTTCCTTTCTTTTTAGAGGTACATATCTGCCCCTGCGTGATCTTACAATTTGCGTGGAAAAGGGGTGTGATGGGTCGTTTATAATGCTTTGTATCTTTTTTATACTTGTGGTGTTATATATTTCATCAATTCTAGTAAGCATGAAAGACAGACTTAAAAGGGTAGAACCTACCAGTTGCACCCTCCAAGCACCCACCATGACACCATGTTAGATTTCTGTGAGAACGGATATCTTTTTGATCTATTACAGAACCTTATGCCTCGGTGAACACCAGCAAAAATTCGTCCCATTCGAAATCAAAAGCGCCCCTTCGCAGTCGACAGGAGGACTGCAGAGCCAAGAAAAAGAAAACTGCGGTATGTCTTATTTTGGTTCACTTTATTATTCATAGAAGAAGTAAGCTATGAGATACCACTGCTGGAAAGTGATTTTTTAAAGAAAATAATGACTGTTTACTAAGAGAACTTAGACAGATGGATCATGTCAAAAGAGGGATTTTAATCAGTAGAGTCTTCTTGAACTGAGCTGTTAATCCAAAAATAGCAGTAAATCAAAACAAAATACAATCTCAGATTTTAACATTTTAAGATTTATGTTGTGACGTGGGCTCGTCAATTTTTGGGCATTTGGAGTTATTGGTATCATCTTAAAGCTTGTTCTGTCATTTGTCTTGATTTTGATGAAAAAAATATCCATCTATCTTGGATAGAACTCAAGATATCTGCGGTTGAAGAAAGTCAGGTCGCCTGATTTCGGTGGTAAAATTATTGAGAAAATGGCCGCCAAAGTTTGGTAACTCCAATAGCTAAAGAGCCTTTGAAAACTGAAAAATGACATATTTTGTGCCTTTAATCAATGTTTTTCAGCAAAATTCACATCGAAATATGGGTTTATATAGACATAAAAGAGATTAAGCCAAAAAATACAAATTCGATAAAAATTTCTTAACTGGCAGGAAAATGCCTGTTTCTCAGATTTCGTTATTTTGATAAGCGCCTGATTTCACCACGCTGCCTCACATTTTTACTTTTTCTAGCACACAACTCTCTAAAAATAGAAACATGCATCATCACAGGACTTTAAAAATGTAAATGGGGTGGGATTTCCATATCAGCTTATTTTCCGACTTCTTTGACAGAACAGGTAGGTAGGGGGAAAAGGTTGAAAGGCTCCACTTCTTCTAAGTTATTCTCTCAGGAGTCAAATAACCTAGCTGATACAGATTTATGGGTGTCTGTGGTGTAGCGGTTCGACACTTTGCTGTCGCACGCAGGAGACCTAAGTTCAATTACCGCTTGGAGAGAAATTTTTATCGAGTGTATTGGTGTTTCTGCTAAAGTGTTGAATCCCCCTCAGCGTGGGTTGGCCCTGACAGGCAAGGTAGGAAACCCACCTCCAAAATGATCTAAGTTGTGTCCATGGGAGCGTGGAAATGTTTTTCTGAAAAAGGTGCAGATTGATGCTTTTCACAGCAGTACATTCACAAAGGCACATTTGCAACATCGCATTCACAATGACATGATGACGACAATTCATCTTCATTTACAAACTCAGTCAAATACACCGTTGCTGGTTGTCGCAATACAGCACCATGATTTTGAGCTTAAGATACACACCAATGTACTCTAAGATTCACTCCAGTTAGCTGTTGTCATTTGACATTGCTTGACATTTTCCGCCTGGACTGAATTCACTGGCTGCTCTGGCCAATGTACTGAGCAAAATGTCTCTAGAAAACATTTTAGCAAATAACCAAAATGAAAAGATTGTAAGTAAAATTACGCAAATAGGACAAAAGATCGGTGCAATCGATAAGATTGTAAGATAGATAGCACAAGTAAGATTGTAAGCAAAATGGAACATGTAAGACCAAAGGAAGGGGGGCATAAATATGATTGTAAGCAAAATGGCACAAGTAAGATTGTAAGCAAAATGATGCAAATATAACAAAAGGCAAATGGCAGAAGTAAGAATGTAAGATGAATGGCACAAGAAGAATTGTAAGTAAAGTGGAACATGTAAGACTATGTAAAATGGCACAAGTAGGACTTCAAGCAAACTGGCACAAGGAAGACTGTAAGAAAAATGGTGCAAGTACAGCGGTAATACAAAATGTAGCAGGTAGAACTTACTGTAAGTAAAATGGCACACATGGAGCAGTGTGAGCAGGATGGCACAAGTACAACTGTATCAGCCATAATATGATAATATATATCTTTAGCAAAATGGTTCTTATTAACAGATTCTTTAAAATGTAAAGTGACATAAAAGTGAAGTCACATAACTTGATAAGGTTGGTCCAGTATGGCCTGTCTGGTGAAATGGCATTAACAGCAATAATAGCAACATGTGGATTATATGATGCAGACGCTTGTAAAAAGCTGTCAAGTTTTTGTAGTGATTGTAGCTACAAGAATAATGTTTCATCGTCCTAGAAGAATACTGGTAATTATGCTGACATTTCCAGAAGGCAGATATGGTTGTTTGTAGTGGGAATGCTGTGGAATGTTGTTCATCCTCACAGCTGTGTTATCGATTAGATGCAGTCTTCAAAAATATTTTATCTGATTTGCTACCAAGGGGTTGTGGATTTGGGTCCTGATGGGCTGGAGGGGGGGGGGGAACTTTGTAGCTGTCTCCTCTCTCTCCGCCCTGGCGCTGACTGTATACCAATTTCTCATCATCTGCATGAGAATGGGGTTTGGGGGAGTTGGGGGTGGGGGTGAATTTTCACACCTGCTCTGTCCATCTGTTCTGGAGATAATCTAGTGTGTCATCATCATCAATGTACCGCTTCTCGTTACAGGCATGTCAACAGTCTGTGGTGGTTTTGCGTAACATTTTTTCAGGATGCACTGCATCACTCCTAAATAGGTCTGCAGTTTTGCTTTGATATAGTTCTGTCTGTTACGAAAATATGCAGTGTGCTTCTTGGCTGCTTGTGAAGCCATGAGCATCAACTTTTCCATTGCTGTATGGTGTCACAACAGAATCCACAAAACCTGTGGAAAACTTAGAGATCTTGGAGATATGTAGACTCCTGTAGTGACATTTCCTTTTTTTTTTTTTTTTTTTTTTTTTTTTTTTTTTTTTTTAAGATTAGAGGATACAGGCACTGAATTCATTATGGTTGGTAAGCTACTCGGTAAAATTCAAAACACAATCAAATATCAATGCCAAACTTAATCTTTTACGGTCTTGAGGCATTTTCATTACCAGTAAGGAGTAAACAAGCAACCAGGTTCTAGCACATAAATTGGATTGCGAGGAGGACAGTATGGTGCGAGTGGTTGAGGTACGGGCACAAATGCAGGCCCTTCTTGGATTTGGTTGCCTCTGTAGTACATTTGACCTGTATTAGCATTCTGATTATGTCTCCAGGAGTTGTCTATTCTCCTCAGATCTTCACCAGTATTGCAGTAGTATGAATTCAAAGGGAGCCCTATGTGTTTCTCTCTCTCCTCTTGCATGTCGTAATAGTCAAAATGGTCCAAAATGGAATCGGCGTATTGGAAGCTGTGAATGATACACATCATCTCTTGGCCAGGCTCGGTATGCACTTCCTGTGCATCATAAGCTGCCATCACTGGTTTGAGTTCATTGCTATCCAAACATATTATCAGGTGATTCAGCATATGGTTTGGTACGTTCTTCACATAATGCCATTTGACCTGAAACATACCGTAGAACCTGCGGCCCGGAGTCCAGACAGTGGCGTTCTTTGTGTAGTCAATGTATGACATCATTTGAGCAATGCCGCAGAAATGTTTGCTCCCTGTGACGGAGTAGAAGAGGTACAGGGGACCCTTTCCCTCCTGTTCACGGAATGCTGTGTCCACAGTTTGATTCCCTGTGATCGTCGAGCACCAGATTCCGTACTTGATAGAGCGATGAATATTTTCCGCTGTATTTGACTTCATGACAAAGTAGCGGGCTGACTTCAGGTCCAGATGGAATGCAGCAGGGTTGAAGGCATTGAAAGATTCCATCTGTTTTGAAACAGAGGCAGAGAGATACGCTTCTGGGTTATCTCTTCCAACTCTGTTCGTTGGTGCTGGGAAAATGCTGACCGGCCCAGCACCTCCGATATTGCAGCTGTCGTAGTGCATAGGAAGTCCTCTGTGGTTCTTTCTCTCCTGCTCCTGCATGTCGTAGTAGTCAAAGTCATCCAAAATGGAAATGGCGTGTTGGAAGCTGTGAATGATATTCGTCATCACATGGGCTTGCTCGGTATACACTTCCTGTGCTTCATAGGCTGCCGTCACTGGCTTGAGTTCATTGTTATCCAAACATATTATCAAGTGATTCAGCGTATGGTTTGGTACGTTCTTCACATAATGCCATTTGACCTGAAACATACCGTAGAACCTTTGGCCGGGATTCCAGACAGTGGCGTTCTTTGTGTAGTCAACATATGACATCATTTGAGCAATGCCGCAGAAATGTTTGCTCCCTGTGACGGAGTAGAAGAGGTACACGGGACCCTTTCCCTCCTGCTCACGGAATGCTGTGTCCACAGTTTGATTCCCTGTGATCGTCGAGCACCAGATTCCGTACTTGATAGAGCGATGAATACTTTCCTCTGTATTTGACTTCATGACAAAGTAGCGGGCTGACTTCAGGTCCAGATTGAATTCTGCAGGGTTGAAGGCATTGAAAGATTTCATCTGTTTTGAAACAGAGGCAGAGAGACACGCTTCTGGGTTATCACCTCCGCCTCTGTTCGTTATTGGTGAAGTGATGATTGCCCCAACACCTATATTAGCCTCACAACTCTTATCAGAATCTACTTCACCTTTCAGACATATTGCACAGCATAAGGAGTTTCCATCGTCACTACTGCTTCTCATGTCATCGATGCAGCCGAATCTAGAGGGTTCTGATGGCTGGTCTGGATATTCTTGAGATACTGTCGAGAGAGGTTTGCAGTGATCGTTGTCGTCCTCCAAGATGTATATGTCAGTACCTTTGGCTTTGCAGAGACTTTGCGCAGCCCCTAAACTGTTCATGAGCTGCAGATGTGAGGTCTTTTAGCTCTTAGTTGAGTTGTACGCTGGCGTGACTCTTGAAGCGCTGGTACCCCTGGCATGTCAGTGAACTGCAGCTCCGAGTCTTCTTGCTTTTCTGTGAATGGAGGTTGTGTTTGATGCCCGCAGAGAATATGCTTGAGGCGAGGTTGTGTCTGGTGCCCAGAGTGAATGTCCCTGAGCCGAGGTAGTTTGTGGTGCCAGTTCCTTAGAATAAGAACCTGCTTGAGACTGGATCGTTTGCGAGGCCATATGGTTTCAAGTATGTCTCTGTGCCAGAACTGCTTCCATGGTCTTTCGTGTTTACTGACAAGTGCTATCCAACATAA